TGTATTTGGCTGTCAGCTATTAGTGGTATTATAACAAAGTGGAAGTGATGGCAACAACAGAAATTCAGACACGAAGTTGTACAGGCCACCTCCAAACCTTATGTGGCCTTTAGATTAGCTCAACAACAGTGCATGGAGAGCTTAATGGGATGTATTTCCATGGTGAGTAGCAGCCATGCCTTTGTATATTTTATTCTATTGAATTTTATTGCATTCCAGTGTTCTCTAATTTCTGCTAAATAACTTTGCACTTTTGCTGCAACAAAACAAATTACCCACCTGTGGGACTAATAAAGGTCATCTTATCTTATCTTATCTTGGCCATGTCTCTGAGTATTGCACACCTTGTGCTTTTGGGCACTCCAGTGATGTTGCAGCTCTGAAATATGGCCAAACTGGTGGCAAGTGGCATCTTGGCAGCTGCACGCTTGACTTTTCTCAGTTCATGGGCAGTTATTTTGCGCCTTGGTTTTTCCACACGCTTCTTGCGACCCTGTTGACTATTTTGAATGAAACGCTTGATTGTTCGATGATCACGCTTCAGAAGCTTTGCAATTTTGAGACTGCTGCATCCCTCTGCAAGATATCTCACTATTTTTGACTTTTCTGAGCCTGTCAAGTCCTTCTTTTGACCCATTTTGCCAAAGGAAAGGACGTTGCCTAATAATTATGCACACCTGATATAGGGTGTTGATGTCATTAGACCACACCCCTTCTCATTACAGAGTTGCACATCACCTAATATGCTTAATTGGTAGTAGGCTTTCGAGCCTATACAGCTTGGAGTAAGACAACATGCATGAAGAGGATGATGTGGACAAAATACTCATTTGCCTAATAATTCTGCACTCCCTGTATATGAGAATCAGTCAATTTACCATTCAGTTTTACTATGTTTAGGCTAGTTTCACTTGCCAGAAACATTCATTAAACCGATTCTGACGTCGATACTTATGAGTCAGTCATGGGTCAGCGTCAAATGGGCCTGTGTTATGGTTTGTTACATTAGTCTGTTACATTAGTTTGTAATAAAATTGGTCCACTTACCTTGGTTTGCTGTTCTGGAAAACAGCAACATCTGAACTGAAAGTAATCATAAAAAATGAATTATTTTTCAAGGAGTTTTTCCTTTAGTACCAAATATAGCAGAAGGGCAGTGACCACATTTAAAGTGTTTTCTTAAAACAGGATGTGCTTAGTTATTGAATGTTAAGTAAAAGTAATCTCACTGCCACTCTCAAGCAGATTATCTTAAATCAACATATTAAATAGTGGGATTTAAAGCCAGCACATGTTACTTACAGAGAAGGCACAGAAGAGGTGTTTGTCCCATTGTGGTGCACAGAGGTGTGAGGTTTTTCTGTGTAACTGCAGCACTTAAACCCTCTTCCTGCCTTTCGGCAGCACAGTGTAGAGGGTCCGTGGTTTCTCTGCAGCAGTTCTAAAGAAAAAGTATAGAGTTCTCTAACCTTTAACTGAGATATGATTCACAAGGTGAATACAATCTGCATTTTTTTAAAGCATTACATAATCTGTCTCCACTTAAAAAACAAACTGTAAGGTTATAATTGTTATTTTGTCCTAAAAATGTTTCAAAGTTAAGCAAAGATTACAGGTAGTTGTAGGGCTGGACTGGGACAAAAAAAATGAGCATTTTGACTAGACCAGCCCACCAGGTATTGTAGGAAAAACCATAAAGCCTTTGAATGAAAACAATGTGACAATGACGTACACTGTCAACAACAACGTCACAACAACTATCTTGGTGACATATAAGGAAGATTTCTTTACATTTGATCAGATGACCACTTTGGTTGTAAGATTCAGATCATTTTTTATTAAAAGCTAGACGTTTTAAATGAGAATAGAAATGATAAGTATTTTTCATTTAACCCTTTAAGACCTACCATAGAACCAAGTCCGCCAGAGCTTATATTATATTTTTACATGCTGTGGAGCCATTTTTGGGAGCATTTCAAGTTGCTATACATCAATACAACCATTATAGCCCAAATTTTAATAATATGTATGCATTAAGTGCATAGTAATTACATACATTGCAAAAAAGTGCAATAAACTACAAAAAAATTGAAAATCGTTTTTGTTTTTTTAACATATATTTCTAGTTAGAGAAATTTAAGAGGCTTATCCCTCAAAACTGTAAATACAAAAAAGTTGCACAAAATAGTTTCCCACCACAGGAAATTTATTTTAAGTGTCTTCATAGTTTTATTTTTGAAATACACCAATTTTTATATACTGCAGGAAAAACGAAAATAAATTCTGCAAATTTGAAAAACAGCATATGCATCAAAATAAACTATTTCCAGCAGTGCAATATGAGTCCTCAGCATCCCAGAAACGACACAGAAAGTCATAAAGTCAAACATAACTTTTAAAAACACCAGTATAGGCTCATAAGGCCCTGATGGTAAAAAAACTACATTTCCGCAAAATGACGTCACTTCCGGTTTCGGGCAGGTCATGGCGGACATGCGATAGTTCGCGCTGATGGACGTAGGAAGTGTTACAAACAGCTGATCGGATCGGCAAAGCGTGTTTCTGGAATATTATGTTTTTGTTGCTGCAAGTGCTTTTTATGCAGTTTTTGCAAAGCTATATGTGGAAGGAAACTGTGACCTAGGACAAGCTGATGGCATAAGATGTAAGTACAACTCCTCCGGTTTCATATGCAAAAAAAATTATTGCGCTAGCTTACGTGGTTGCAGTGCTACCGGGATTTAAAAATAGTTACGCAAAATGGAGCGTGTCCGCTCCGACCGGCTTTAAAGGGTTAACTACATGGCCCCCTGGCAACACTTTGCTAGATCCGCACCTGCACAGTTACCAGCTGTCAGCTACCTAAAAAAGGATCCTGGTGTTATTTGTCTCTCAGAAACAGTTCATAACTTCCCTTCAACTCATTCATGTCACCTAAAAGGTAAACCTGTTTCTCCATCACCTGTTCAGCTCTGATGATTCAGTAAGGACATCTCCTGGTTTCATCTTCATGTTTCCCTCTCACCACATATCCAAACCGATATCATGACCAGCAGCTTTACAGCTGTGGCTCCAGCAAACATCAGCTGATACTAGAAATTAATATTAAATAAATTCTAACAACAGCTGATCAAACGTGCTGCTGTTGTTTAAGCGACATCCGCTGGTTTCCTCTTTCTGGCGCAAACGATAAACAAACAAGAGAGAAAAGCCGACCAGCTGATCATTGATCAGTTTCATGAATGAAGTAGTAACAGGAGAGGGAGGGGGAGAGAATGAGAGAAGAAGAGGAAGCGTGGACAGCATAAAGACACAGAATAACTCCATCTTTGTGTCTTTTTCATTCTAGCTGAAGTCCGGGACAAACTGCATTCCCTTTCACCTCAATACCATTTTCTTCTGTTTGTCTGTGATAAGATTACTTTCAGGCCGTTTTCCAAGCAAGAGGGGGTGCATTCGACCTCCTCGGCCGTAATTGTCTATCACGTCAATTAACCATTCCACCACCTGTTTATACCTGTTATATTTTAGATAACAAGATTAGTTAGACGGATTAGATAAAACTTTATTAACCTCTGGGTGGTCTTGGGTCGATTTGTGCCATTTTTCATTGTTCGTATACACGCCATTTGCACTGTGTTGAACGGAATATAGCCAACTTTTCCAAAAAAAAGTCTGGTTACATATATTTCAAAATTCCAGTCTGACTCCCTTAAATTAGCTTCAGTGGCTGAGCTACAGATAAACTTACACTATTGGTCCTAGTGGTCGATTTGTGCCCCATTGAAACCCATTATAAACGCTATTTCCCATTCCACGGTCATTACAACCAAATAATGGGCCATCTTCCGAATGTTGGTGGTACTCGGGAGTCCGGGCCTTGGAATTGTATCTTTTGGGAAATATTTGATTTCTTTGTTTTTTGGGGCTAAAAAAACAGTGCGGCCATGTGACGAAACCGGGATATAAAGGGTTAAAATCCGCGAAATGTAATTAAAACTTGATATGAATATTTCAAGGAGAAGTAGGTCTAAAAGATTGGCTAATTTAAAGTGGAAAAAAATATTAATATATAGATATTTTATGGCACTTTTCATGGCGTGGTCGATTTGTGGCTCTAAGCCCAATAGTGTATGCATTTTTCTAGGACCCCCCAGAGGTTAATCCCTTGGGTGGGTTCCTCCGGGAAATTCGGTTTCCAATAGCACAGCACCGACAGAAGTTACAGAACGTGAGCAGAAATATACCATATATACACATATATAAATAAAGAGGATACAAACGGGATAAATAGAATAAATAGGAATAAGAATACAAAGGAATTGCACATTTTAAGTATTGAGGTCTATTGCACCGTTGACTATTAACAAAAGTATTGCACAGTGAAGTGCACTACAGCTTAGTTGTTCCCCCCTCCTTTGTCCTCCTGTTTCCCCTCCCTCTCCCCTCCAGAGAGGAGTTAAACAGTCTGATGGCGTGTGGGACAAAGGAGTTTTTAAGTCTGTTAGTTCTTGTCTTGGGGAGAAGCAACCTGTCACTGAACAGACTCTTCTGGTTGTTAATGGCCGTGTGCAGAGGATGCCCAGCATTGTTCATAATGTCCAGCAGTTTTTTTAATGTCCTTTTCTCTGCCACTGTCACCAGAGTGTCCAGCTTTATGCCAACCACAGAGAGCAATAAAAAGTATTTAATCCCAGGGAAAGGTGAGCTCTGGGCCAGAGTGCCATGTGAGTGTTTGCAGCTAGTGAGCTGCTCTTTCTTTTTGGCTTACGTTTTACTTTATTGACCAACACCTGAGTTTTGTTGGTTTTCTTAAATGGTGATAGCGGCTTGTCCGTCTCTTTTAGTTGAGCTACTTTAATAAAACTCTTTAATGTAACCCTTATGTCTTCTTGTCTCCTTTTTCTGACCCGGACACTTTTTGTTATTTCCCCCTCACCGCCTAGACCCCTCAGGGGAACGTAACAAAGTGTTAACCTGCTCCTGCTCACATCAGTTTATCTAAACTTTCTGTAATCTGTGTGTTTGTGTTCAGATCTTCCACCAGAGCCAGCCGTCATCTACTCCCCACTGAAGCTGAGCCACACACCTTCACCACAGCTTAACCAGTCTAACCAGTGAGGTCCAGCTGGCTGCCAAACACATCCCTGCACTCCTCTCTATATTATTTATTCAATCATATTCTGTGTGTGTTTACAGTTGTACAGCTGCACTGGAACAGTTTGAATGTAGAGCTCAGGATGAAATGGAAAGTTTATGTTTGTCTTTAATAAAAGAATTTAAAGCTAATCCAGTTTGGCGTCACACAGGAGGTTCCTTCTAGAAGCAGATCCGATCACTCTGCAGCCATCATGAAATGCTGCACTGGTAAATATTTATGAAGCATTATCTGCTCTGTCTTTTATTTGAATGGTCACCAGGACATAAACACTGCATGTACAGGATCAGCAGTCAAATCTGACATCAAGCATTTTTTAACGTTTGCTGACTTTGCTCCAAAATAAGGTTTTAAAAACCCTTTTTCACACATGGGATTTCAGCCTCTGCAACCATCTTTACTGTTGCTGTCTGCCATAGATTTGAATTCAGGGTTTTCTGAGTGCCACATGTCTCTCTTAGACTGACCCCCTCCTGCCAGTTAATATTATAGCAGCTAATCAGACCTGTGATGCAGAGGTGTTACAGTCACTTCAGGTTAAAGAGTGGATGAGCTGTGGTGTAATGTTTGCAGCTCTAATCTATAAAGCCCAACATTTCATCCTAAAACAGTCACATGACGTGTTATGACTGAGATCCAGCTGCAGGTTATTCTTCAGTGCACAGAACAGTTAATAACTCCATCAGGACAAACTGCAGAAACAGAGGCACAGCTGCTCCCTTTTTCACACTTACTGCAAAACAGCACACAGGACCACAGCTTATGCAGAGGGTATTATCTGATAGATTGTATGGTGGTGTCAGGGAGAAGTTAGCTAAGCAACATGAGATGGTTGTGTGTGTGTGTGTGTGTGATGACTTTGGACAACAGCAGGAGCGAGCGAGCGAAAGCAAAGAGTAGAATTAAATGGCGGAAGCTGAAGTCGGCCGTTTGATTAAATTTGGTGTAAAATTTTGTGAAGTATTTGTGATTAATAATAAAAAAACTCAGAAATGATGCAGAGCTTTGAAGGGAACCACGACTGAATTTAATTTATTTATTATTTTCGCTGTCACAGACACAGAACGGTTGTTACAGTTACAAAAACATTAAGTGAAAGTTTACTCTTGATTTATTTATTCTATTGAGATCATGTAATTTAAAATGTAACATAAAATTGAGTAAAACCTATCAAATTGTTTCACATTTATGTATCATTCATGTATCAATTAAACAATTGCTGTTTATGATTGCAACCAAGGGTGGCACCGTCACCACAGTCTACAGGGAGAAGGTCCAGAGTCTGAATCCAGTTTGGGATTGTTCTTTGCATGTTCACGTTTCTGTGTGGCTTCTCTCCAGGTATGAATGAATGGTTATTTTTCTCTGTATGTTTGCGCTGTGACAGTCTGGGAAGCAGGAAAAGCTGTGATGAGAAGTAAAATAATTTCTTTCTCATCACATAAAAAGAAAAAAAAGAAAAAATTATTGAGAGATTATTAAAAAAAAAATCAAACCATCAAATGCTTAGAAGCTTATGTGAGAACAGAACAGAACAAAATATGCAAAAAAAAAAAAACAAACCCTAGAATTAAATGACATTTTTTTTTTTTTTAAACTGAATTTGTGGTATAAATACTTTCTCACAAAATTTTGCGAATATTGGGAGCACAATATGTGACCCTGACAAAACAAAACAAAAACAAAACAAAACAAGATTTTTAGGGATTCCTATGAAAACTTTATACTCACCATATAAACCCAACTAAAATGAAATTGCACAAAATTCACAAAATGCCACATAAGGTTGTTTATTATTTTTGTCACAACCCGGCTCATAGGAAGTGACAATCAAGAGGGATACCACCCACAGGCTTTTAAAGGCTGTAAGACATATTTAATGAAAAAAGGGTAAAGCAACTTAAACCCACTTTAAAGACCATAATAGCCATAACTGAAACTTCCAACTTCCAAACTTCCAAAACTTAGGTTTTATCCGATACCGGTGCCAAACCGGTACTTTTGAAACGGTGCCGGTGCT